TGACCTTTTGTCTGTCTAGTCCTTCTCCCTGTCACCATTGTCCATCTCTGCTTCCTAGTGCACTGCTGCTGATTCTCCCTCTCATTGCTCAGTTTTCCTCCTGCACTATGACTGTGAGTATCCCTAAAGCTGCTGCCACTGGTCCCTTACTTTCTTCTGTATACTTTCTCTTTTGTTGAGCTCATCTACTCACATGGAGTGTATCACACCTGGATGTGAGTGACTTCCAAATCCTTCTCCAACTCTGACACATCATATATAATCTAATCTCCACTTGCGTGACTTACAATAACCTCAGACCCACCTTCTCATTACCATATTCGCCTCTCAAAAACTGTGTTTCCTTCCTAGGTAAGCCAGTTTTCTTATAGACTAACATTCCTGTCTCTCAGGCTAGAAACTGTGATGCTATTTCTGAATCACCATATCACATCACAGAATGTTGGAACAGAAAGGGATTTTCATCAATATCTAATGGAACCCACTGGCCAAAGTCATGCAGCTAGTAAGCTTCAGAACTGAAATTAGAACCCAGGTATTCTGGCTCAGTGGATAGAACCCTGGACTTAAGAGTGAGGATGGAATCATGTCTCAGTCACTTACTAGTTGTGTGACTCTGAGCAAGTTATTTGATCTCTTTCAACCTCAGTTTCCATATATGTAATATGAGAACAATAATAATAATAATAATAATAGCACCTGCCTCACTGGGTTATTGTGAGGATCAAACAAGACGTGATATCTGCACTTTGCAGACCTTAAGCTATTACGTGAATGCCAGCTATTATTCTTCCTAGTCCTCTCCCCGAGGGCACTCATTTCGTCGGAACTCTACAATAATGCCAGCTTTCTGACTAAGACTCCAGGCATCCTCCATGGGGCCAGACACAGTGACTCCATCCGTTTGGTTCCACCCACTCTCTGCTTCTTGGCCCATTGCTTCGTTTGGACTGCTGTCATCTCTTCACTGTCCTCACAAACCACTGGGCAAGAGAAAAATGAGGGTGGGTGATAATTTTAGTTTTTATCCCAGTTTAGAAAATCCCTGCCCAGCCTTTTGACAGGATTAATAGCACTAAGAACCCAAATGGTGTTTGTTGAAAATATCATCTGTGCTGAAGTTGCAGCCTGCCTGAGGTCCCCAGGAGAGGAGCTAGCTAGCCTGTGCTGCTGAGGGATCGGCAGATGGAATTTTCCACCATGTGATCTCACTGTTCCTGCAGGTGTTATAAAATTGCTCATTGGCAAAGCCTTGGGACAATGAGAACTGAACAAAATCTGGGGCTGCTAAACAAACCACAGGTTCCTGAATACATCTGCCACTTACTAAGACCTGGGTACCATACTGTAGGGGCTTAGTATTCTTTCCTGCATGTGAAGTGTTCGTGATTGAGCACGAATGGCTTTGTCTGTTTATTTGAGTGTTTATTTTTGCAGAATGCTTCCTTTTCTGCCTGAGAGTGGGGATTCTTTCATTCTTTGTATTTGTATCCCTGGAGGCAGGCACATAGTGGTGGTGGTGGTGGTGGTGTTGAGTCATTTCAGTCTTGTCCTACTATTCTGTGACCCCATTTGGGTCCCTGTTTGGTTCACTTAACATGTATCTCAAGCCCTCAAGTCTTTAAATTCTCTTTGCCAAAGGTGAGGTGCATTTTTCAGCTTTTATTTTCAAATTATATTTTTAAATAATATACCTATTTGGTCCACTTAACATATCTCAAAATACTTTAAAAAATTTTTCCCAAATCTGTGATTTCATCAATCAGTAAACATTAAGAAACTGCTATATGCCAGGCACAAGGGGAAACCAATCAAGCAAAAGACAGTCCCTGCCCTCAAGGACCTTACAATCTAATGGGACAGACAACATGCAAATAAATATACACAAAGCAAATTATATACAGGATAAATAGGAAATAATTAAAAGAGGGAAAGCACTGAAATTAAAAGGGGTTGGGAAAGACTTCCTCTAGGAGGTGGGATTTTAGATGAGACTGAACGAAAGCCGGGGAGGTCAGTAGTCAGAGCTGAGGAGACTTGGGTGAACAGCCAGAGAAAATGCCTGGATCAGAGAGATAGAATGTCTTGTTTGTGGAACAGCCAAGAGGGCTGAAAGGCAAATAGGGAATGAAAGCAGATGGATTGAAGATGTCAACCCAATGAACTCTTCATTCATTCAAAAAAATTTTATTAAGCGCCTAATGTGTACAAAGCACTATGCTAATCACTAAGAGAGATAAAAAAGAAATAAAATAGTCCCTGTTCCTATAGAGCGTACATTCTAATAATGGAGGAAGGGAGTGAGTGTGAACTGTAGATCTGCCTGGGGCTTCATTGAGTCCCTATGCCCAGGAGTAAATCACAGCCCAAACCACTAGATGCATTTGAGCTCCTAGGCCACTTGGAAAGTGCTATTTGAAATTCTTAAAGTAACTAGACACTAGCTTTTCAGCATCTGTGACCAACTCTACATTTTGGAGCTAGTTAATAAAGTATCTGGAAGCTCCCAGGCCAGTAACCATGCTCAGGTGAATGTCAGTTCTCTGTCCCCCTCAGGTCTCCATAGGATATGAGTACTGATAGTTGCAAAACTTTGTGGAGAGATCCCTGGCTGTGCTGTGGACATTTTCATCCTTCAGCAATCAGTTATGTCTGGGAACAGGATGAATTAATGTGGACTGTTGGTCAATAACAGCTCAGAAGATGCCTAATAGGTATACTGTTTCTGATGGGGTGATGGGACCTGGACCCCTAAAAAATAAAAGACCATGTCTTTGAGAGCAACCCAGTCCCTGAATTTTCCCATACATTTCAGCCGCTCAGATCTCTGGCCTCGCCCAAGGCAACTGGCCCACACCAGCCCACCTAGATCACCTCATTAGTCTACTTGATACTCCTTTCACTGTTGGCCTGGTCCACCCCGGAGTATTTACCACTCCTTAATCCCGTCCAGATCCTTTCACTGTCCTTTTTGTGTATAAGCGGCAGTCTCACCCCTAGAAAACCTGCCCATTCCTCTTGACAATAGGTACTGTACACGTTGCCCACTGACTGGAAGATGCTTTGAGTGAGTAAATTCATTCCAGGCGGACTCCATCCTGTGCCCTGACATTTTGGGGTTCCCAGCAACTCCAAACCGCATCATTTTCCATAGCTAATTAAGTAAGGCTGATTTGTCATTCCCTTCTCGTCTCTCACCTCAGTTTTGTCTGGAATTTGGCTGGTCAAGAATAGAAGACTCTTAGAACTAGAGCCGATAGTGACCTTAAAGAAAATATTGTCCGTCTCCCTTGTGTTATCAATGAAGAAACAGGCCCAGAGAGGGGAAGGTTACTTATCCAAGGCCACACAGTTTATAACAGAGCTAGTATTAAAAACCAAGGCTCCTGGTTTCCAAGCATACGGTCTTTCATTGGAGAGACATGATGGCAGCTGTGCCTTGCCTCCTATTTGAATATATTTTGATGTCCTTCCTTCTGTCCTTGGTTCTTTGGGTCAGCATGCTTTCTGACATAATGGGTCTAGTGTCAGGGTGGCTTAAGCCAACCTGTGGGCACTACCTGCCAATGACCAGGTTTATCCGAACTATCTTTTCATCTCCGTCATCTGTGTTACCTCTGCTCCCTTTGTTTTCTGTTTCAGTGTTACTGGCCCTAAAGGCCTCCGTGCCATCTCCTGTCCTCATGGATGAACTGCAAGACGTGCAGCTCACAGAGATCAAACCACTCCTGAACGACAAGGTAAAGGCCACTCTGTTTACATTAAAATGATTGAGTCCAAGCCTCACTTTCTGGAACGGGGTGATTTGTACTGCTCAATATTGACTAGCTGAAAAATCATCTGGCTTCATTTCCCATAGAGCAGGGAGGGGGGAGCATTTGCCCTTCTTTTTGGACCTTCTCTGCTCCTTTCCTTTTTGTTTTCCTTCATTTGAGCTTCTTCAGGGCCGATCCTAGGAGGCCCTGGGATGTAGTGGAGAGCTGGCCTTAGGGTTGTGCCTGGCAACCTGAGGCCCAGTCCTGCCTCAGTCACCCACTGTTTCTGTGACCCTGCCAGGGCCATGCCAGCTGCCATTAGGAAAGGCACTTTCTTCATGAGGGAGCTCCCTGTGCCAATTAATGGTCAAGTCCAGACCATAAACAAAAGTCCAGCCTCAAAGCTGACAGGGACCTCAGAAGCCATCTTGTCCAGTCCCCTCATTTTATAAATGAGGAAACTGAGACGGAGGGACATTAAGTGCCCAGTGCCACACAGATAGTAAGGGGCAGCAGCAGGATTTGAACCCATTTCATCAGCATTAGCCTCTTCTCCCTCTCCCATATTTCTTCCCAAGCTGTCGTTCTCCCCAACATCCTTCCCCCCCCCCCCCCCCCCCCCCCCCCCCCCCCCCCCCC